ATTCATGAGACAGACTCAAACTGGGTTTCTGGATGTCCGGAAACAATTCGTGGCTCTCAACGAGAAATTCCTAGCCCTTGAATCGCAGTTTCTTGGGCTCAAACTCTTGAGCGAATCGCCTAGACGGAAAATTTCGCATTATGATGCCAATCTCTTGCAACCTAATCCGATTGGTACGCCTGGTAAGCATTTGTTACTCCGTGTGGTCATGCCTCGCCGATTCTGTAAATCCGCCAACGGCGGCTCCGGTGTTCTTTACACCGAGCACATTGCTTCCTTCTAGCAACCAAGTTCCCGTCAGCATCAACCAATACCTGCAGTTTCTACTGTCATCACTCACCACGTGAGTGCTCCTAGTGCGGGTGTGTTGGTTGCTGGTGATGTCTTGCCAATTCCTGCTCCAGCCGTTGCTGCCAATTCTTCTGCCCCAGGACCGAGATCTCTTTTAGAAGTAGCTCCACCATCACGATCTCGCTTGGGACTTCAACTTAGATCAGTGGTCCCTCGGAAAGCAATATTTGTTTCGCGTCTTATTCCGGAGGCTACAACGGAGGACGTTAAACAACATCTTTCCTCTAAACTTAACGCTTCGCCTGATGATATAGTTGTGACTAAATTTACATTTAAACATAAGCGCAACATATCATCCTTTAAAATTATTCTCCCTGATTCTATACTATCCAAATCTCTTGAGCCGTTAATATGGTCTGAGCATACAATTATGCATGAGTTCCTTCACAAAGATTCGAGCTCGAGTCCCAGAATTACCGAGCCTGCTGCTCCACAAAACTGATGTACCATTTTTCTATTCACTATCAGAACGTTCGCAGTTTGTTCGGCAAATTGCGTCAAATTCATATAAATAGTGCGTCTTTTGATTTCGATGCCATCGCTTTTACCGAAATCTGGCTTAATTTCACTATCAATGATCATAAAATTTTCATTGACAATTACAATATTTATGGAATGGACTACACATCTTTTGCAGGTGGGGTTTTGATTGCAGTCAAATCTGATTTTTCATCTGAGTTATTCCCATTGAATAACATCCATGGCATTGAATTTGTTGCAGTCAAAGTTCGTGTTGGCTCGGTATTTTTCTATTTAACCTGCTCTTACATTCCTCCCAGGTCTAATGCGGAGGTTTACTTATGCCACCCCTCCGAAATTAATACTGTCGTATCTGCATTAAGGTGCAATGATCGAATTATTGTCATGGGGGACTTTAACCTCCCATTTCTTTCTTGTTTGCCTTGCGATGACGCAAACCTATTTTTTCCCAATTGCCACAATGAGCTAACGGATATTTCCCTTGTCCAAATTAATGCCGTTAAAAAAATTAGGGACAGACTTCTTGACCTCATGTTTGTTAACGATGCTTCTCTTACTACGGTATCAAAAGCAAACCCAATATCACTCCCTGAAGATCCTTACCATGGCTCCTTGTCACATAAAATGTTTTCGCAAAACAAACTTTATCGATTTAGATCTACATCTCTCGCGTGTTGATTGGTCGTTTCTTTATTCATTACCGAACATAGATGCAACTGTTAACTCGTTGTATAGCTCTATTTACTCCGCCCTTAATAAATTTGTTCCAGATATCACTACCCGTATCGTCCAAGCCTCCCTGGTTCTCCAAGTATTTGTCATACTTAAAAAACAATAAATCCAGACTCTATAAAAAGTACCAGAGGTCGGGCTCCACGTCGCCCTTAGCTCTATACTCCTCCGCTCGCTCTCTGTTCCTTGCCGTTAATAGTCAGTGTTCACAATGTAGTAGTAACTTTCGTAGTTATCCTGAAAGATTATATTCGTTCGTTAACTCTAAGCGTAAGTCAAACGCTTTTCCTCCGTCCCTTCATTACCAGAACAAAACAGAAGCTTCTGCTGTTGGTATTGCAAATTTATTCGCTACCTTTTTCCAAACAACGCACTCGTCTCATATTTACAACGCATCCACTCTGTATCCGTACCAGCTACCTCAAGCTAACAGCATTTTTCTGCCCATCTTCGAGGAAAGCGTTGTTCTGGAAGGTTTGTCATCTATGGACATATCGTTTTCTGCGGGTCCAGATAAGGTACCAAGTTGCATTTTAAAACACTGTGCCCAGTCCCTTTGCAAAACCTTTGACCCTTATCTTCAACCTCTCCTAGGAACAGTCTTGTCTCCCAGTAATTTGGAATGAGTCCTACATCATTCCGCTTCACAAAAAAGGTTCAAGATCAAATATTGAAAACTATCGTGGTATCGCAAAGCTTTCCGCCATCCCGAAGCTTCTTGAGTTCCTGGTCACCCGGCAACTGCAACATCTTTGTTGCAGCTTGATGTCTCCGTCGCAACACGGTTTTTTCAGACATCGTTCAACATCGACTAACCTTCTTGAGTTTTCTAACCTAATCCACAGTATTTTCAAAATGGATGTAGTTTTTACGGACTTCAGCAAGGCATTCGATTCTGTGAACCATGCTCTGCTTATTCACAAGCTCGCTTTATTAGGGTTCCCAACGAATCTTCTAGATTGGATTTTGTCCTATCTCTCTAACCGTACTCAACGTGTTTTGTTTTCTAACGTGTTGTCAAATACTGTTAATGTTACTTCAGGTGTGCCACAGGGAAGTCATCTGGGCCCGCTTCTGTTTATTTTATTTGTGAATGACCTTCCTCAAATTATAACATACTCTACTACACTAATGTATTCTGATGATGTCAAAATCTGTCTTTCTTACTCTGATTGGTATTTGCACACACGCCTTCAACTTGATCTAAGTGAACTACTATTGTGGTGTTCAACTAATCTTCTTTTTCTGAACCTTTCCAAATGCAAACTTATGACATTTTACCGTCGTGCTCCACATTTTGTCTCATATGTTCTAGGAAATCATGTCCTTGAGCGAATTTCGAGTTCAAATGACCTCGGAGTCCTTTTTGATCATAAGATGTGTTTTAACAGCCATATAGCTGCAACTGTAAATAAAGCTAAGGGTGTTTTAGCGTTCATAAAGCGTTGGTCCAAGGAGTTTGACGACCCGTCCGTTACGAAACAACTGTATATCTCGTTAGTACGTCCTAATTGGAGTATTGTTCTTGTGTTCTTGTGTAGAGCCCACAGTATAAAGAGCAGCAGGCTGTTATTGAATCCGTGCAAAAGCAATTTTTAATTTTTGCCCTTCGGAACTTTAACTGGGACTCGGGTAGAATCTTGCCACCCTACCGGTCTAGGCTAAATCTTATTGACCTGCCGTCGTTGCACCATCGCAGAATATGCAATGGCGTAATGTTCGTGCACAAGCTCCTTCTCGGGACTGTTGACTCCCAAACTCTCTTGGGTCAGATTGACTTGGCCGTTCCATCTAGACCTACCCGTACTTTTAGGCCTATCCGTCTACCCATATGTTGGTCTAATTATGCTGATCATGAACCTTTTAGGGTTTTATGCTATAATTATAACTCCCTCTGCCAAACCCTATCCCCTGAACTGTCTCTTAAACTAATTGCATGCAATTTTTAGAATCACTTAAATTTAGCTAACTTTTAACTTCTCTTTTTCCGCCTTTAGTAACTAAGTACCATTATTAACAGATAATTTTTTAACATTAAGAAAATAAAAATGTATAATTAATTTCACAATATATAATATTTGTATATTTAATTTGTAATTGGGTTTTAAAAAAATATAAAACATATACACCTTACATTAGAGACCAAAACAAGACTCATACATGACGTAGTTTACTTATTATTCGACCTTAAAGACGCAGAATGTGCATACAAATTGAGTAAATTGCTGATCATTGAAAAAATTCAACTTTTAATGCTCATACCAATCTCCTAAACTAAAAATCCAATTCTCTTAGTTTCCATTTTTGAAAGCCTTGTATGTATAGATGCATCTGGAGCTGGATGAATGGTCGTCAATAATGAAAAAATGGACAAGGACATGAACAATGATATTTTGAGTGACGACTCCACTTCAGTTACCTCACGTAGGTACCATTGAGCCTGTTTGGGATATTTTGGAAAAAATGATATGGAGTTGGAAATGTTTCCGTTTTTTCTTTAGTTCATTTTTATAAGGATAACAAAGTAGAACATTTTACTTTTTTTGGGAACAGATAGTAGAAATTCTTTGATATAAAATTATGTTAATGGCCATTTCCGCGTGTCGCGAACGTACCTTCGTACAAAACAAAAATGTTCTCCATGGAACGGAACAGAATAATTTTATTTATTTATTTATTTTAAAAGATGATTAACGTAGTTTTCGATCATTTATTTAATCAATAAATTATCTCTAAGGGTGTTTTTTAAATTTAATTAAGTACCGAATTAAGTATGAATCACTTAATTTGTTGGCCTCGGTAGACATTTTCACGGAAATGCCCATATGTATACCAGAGCCCTGTATGAAAGGGCAACCTTACACAGTGTAAACAAAAACCGAATGTGCACAACCTAAGGCACACGAACTGCATAGTATGTTTAGAGTCATTTTAACGAAATGCGTAAAAAACTTGCGGATATTAATCCCTACTGCTCGGATTCGGTTTTTAATGATTCGGTGATTCGAATCTGACTGAAGGAAGGATTTGTAATGATCGAACGCATCGAAGAGGCATGAGTATAGCTTTGATTTTATGAATACTGTGGATACAAGGCTCAAATGTATACAACTTGATTGTTTTTTGAATAGATTTGTTAAAATACCAAGTCCTATGCATACATCATTAATATTTTATCTACATAGCTGCTTTCTTTTGCACATTTTAAAATTCCTTTTATATATAAAATAGACGTGCGAAAAGAGTTATATAAATTAAAATATAGATATATGCATGTTTCAAGATGATTTCAAAGTTAAAATCTTTGATTATATGAAGTATATTTCACTTTTATGTATCAAATTAAAAAAATATCTAAATTTTACATAAACTATAAATTAATTATGTATGAAGACATGTGGGAATTGGTTTTATAAGCGTGAATCAGGAATACGTACCTCTTTTGTGATTTGATCTAGCGCGTTGTCCTCTGCATTCACTCGTGTATTGTTTCGTCGTCGACCTGTGGCGCTTGTGCTTTCCATTTCATTAAAATTGGAGTGTTGTATTGTGTTAACCAAGCCACAGGTAAAAATTCAATTAACTTTGTATATTGATATTCCAATTTTCTTCGTAGCGGAAAGCACCGGTAGTACAGTATGTGAATCGGAAATGCAAATTAAATGTTAATTGTGATTTTATTTTAAGTTTTATGCAGCAGCTCCCACTTAATTAGCAATGAGGCCAAACAACGCGAGGAAAATAATATCAACCAAAAATGAAGCCGAAATCATATCTACATACATACATACATACGTATGTACATACGTCTGATTCTAGTTTAATTTTTAAGACGACAGCGCACGTACCAGCACACTTTAGTAATCACTGTGCAAGTTTTGGCGATTTCGTGACCATTGGAGGTATTCTGAGATTAAATATTGAGCAGGTCCAATGAACTATATCTAAATTGAAATCCTTGTCCAACAAAAATGACCATATTTCTACATTACTATAGGCTCATTAAAAGTGGTAAATGCTAAGTGCGCAAATAATTGTGTTCGCCTTATTTTAGATATTTTTTCACTTAAAAATTGTACAAAATAATGCATTAAAATTACGCTTATAAGTACAGAAAAACAAAAGCTCTTAAAACAGAACTAAACATTTGGAGGTTGTTTAAACATGAACATATTATCGTCGAAACCATGACACTTTCGGACCATTGCAGAATGTTCAAACATAAACATATTATTGTACACATTCACTCATGTATCCAAAAAATTGATCTCTAAAGAAATCACATAACCTAAAAAAAGATCTGTAACCCATTAAAAGATACTAAAACAAAACACAAATGTCTAGACTTTTCTTTTAAGGTCTTAACAGAGGATTGAACATACTCATAATCAGCACCTTAACCCGAAGTCAGGAAACCGGCCCTAAGTCTGACTGGTGACTCATGCTGCCACATGCATAGGACGCTCCTAGGACTCAGAGACTATATAAGCTAGAGCAACCAATTTTGGTATCCACACTCCTGTGATATCGCACCTGCACGAGTTCATTTCAAAATTCCCCACAAAGGACGAAAATCTGTTGCATCCACAATAATGAATATACGAGAAAACTAAAAACGCACAATCATAGAGAATGACCATATCTATTAGATTGGATAGATAGATGGATAGAGTGATCCGATCTGGATCAGATCGGATAATTTGCATGGCCAAAAGGAACAAATCAATGTACAGTTGCTACGCAGCGCCCAACGACACGCTCAGACTGATTTTCTGTCTCTCTCACACGCACTCTTTGTCGTGTCGTATTAGCGGCGTCTGCCGGAGGAGTGCCATACTGACTAAGTATCGGCTATAACTGAAGAGTTGCGGTCGCCGCAGAAACGCAGAAAACGTGTCTGAACGTGTCGTCACGATTTTGTTTTCTCGTATCATTGAAATTGTGAATGCCACAGATTTTCGCCCTTTATGTGGCCGGAAGTGAGCGGGGCGAAGTTTCGAAATATACTTGTAACTGTGTAATACAAGACAGACGGACGGACGGACAGACAGACATTGCTCAATCGACACAGCTATTGATGCTGATCAAGAATAAATATAATATATGTTTATAAAATGTTCGTTCTCTTTCGTAGTGACCAAACGTGTTTTTGTTTTGCGCTCCGCTTCTTTTCCTTTTTTTTTTCAATTACAGCCGGTGCTTTTCCAAATAAACCTTTAGTAAAAACCAAAATTAACCTACAATACAAAACCTGTTCTTTAACGCGAGTGGATGCCTATTGTTTTAATAAAAACTTAATTTTGATATTAATTCTGTTCGTTGGTTATTGATGTGTTGCTTTCCGTAAGTACGCTCACGCTAAGTTAAGCCCGTTCTTATCCCGTAGCCTCTTCTTTAGCTATTACTCTCTCCCTATTATCCAAACCCAAACAACTGTTCTTTCTCTCTCGCTGTTTAAACTTTCTGAGAAATAGCGCTAATTTTGCTTTGAGCGTTGTCTGGCACATTGGACTGATACCAATTTGTTTAGAAATTTTTGTTGCAAATTTTTAAATAAATAAATAATTAAAATGGAATTCACTGTGGTCTGCGCCAAAAATACTTGTAAGATGCTGATCACCAACGATCAGGCGACGGAGTAGTGCACGCAAAATGCGCTGGATCTGGCCTCGTGAGTGATGATATAGCCAAACGTAATGGGTTGCATTACAGTTGCGAGGCATGCAGTACGGTGGAGAATGATATGGTGGCTTTTATGAGGCAGACGCGGAGTGGCTTTAAGGAGCTGACCGTTGGTTTTAAAAACAAATACGATCGGCTACTAGCAATGGAGGCTCAGATAGCGGTTTGAAGCTGCTGAATGAGTCTCCGAGGCGCAAAAGGGTCACTCCGCGCGATCTGCAAGTGCCAACAGCTCGTTGCCGGAAAACTGACTCCGACCACTCAAAATGTACAGCAACTGATTTCTTTTGCCATAGCAAGGGCAACGACAGCTGCTGGCGATGCAGATTCGGTAGCCGAATTCATCGCTTCGGAGAATGTCTGTAGCGTCCGTGTCCGCTGTTTTCGCAAGCTCACTAGTTGTCACGTCATTGCCACCACAGGTACCAAAACGACAAGTTTTTGTCTCACGGCTGGCCCCTGACCTCACATCTAATGATGTAACTACTTTTATACAAAGCAAAATAAAAGCCGTCGGTTTAAAGGTGGAAAAGTTTAATTTATCTTATGCCAGAGAGATAGCTTCATTTAAGATATGTGTCTCCCCAACTCATTTTGGTGGGCACTCAGAGCATTTGGTGGGGAAGGAGTTCAAGGCTAAGAAGAAGAATAGGCCCCCCATGACTCTTACAAATCATCCCAGTGTGCCATCGTCCCCTCATCTTCCCGCCCTGCTTTAAACCTTCCAAAAAACTAACTTCTCTTTTAGTAACATATCAGAATGTTAAAGGCTTACGTAATAAGCTCAGCATTCTTTTCCGGGATAGTTTTGCATGTTCTTCCCACGTTATTGTTTTTACCGAAACCTGGCTAAAGCCAGACATTATTAGTTTCGAGGTTTTGGCAGGTCGGTACACAACTTTTAGAAAAGACCGTTCGTCTTGACGTGCAGGAGGGGTTCTGATTGCAGTGAACTCTAGCTTCACGTCGGAACACTTCACAATCCAAGTTCAACAGGAACTTGAATTCCTGTGTGTAAAACTGATTCTTCCCGCTTTCGCAGTTTCGCAGAAGTTGGTTCTCCTACTTCTCACTCTAGCTATGTAATAGCTCGGTCAAAATGTTCAGTTCTTAATGTACAATGCTATAAGAACGACCTGTCTCGATGCAAGATGCGTTTTTCTCAGGACCCTAAAAAGTTTTACTGTTTCGTAAACAGTAAGCGTAGAACGTCCGCACACCCGTCCTCGCTATCATTTTTTAATACGTCGGCAAACAATGATCGGATGCCGATCTTTTTGCCCAATTTTTCCCAACGACCTATTCTGAGGAAAGCTACTTTGGTCAACCGTACCCATACGATTTACCGAGGTCGAACGGAATTTTCAGTCCCTTGTTAAATGAATGTTTTTTACTTCATGATCTTCGACTAGTTAAGTCGGTGTTTTCACCGGGTCCAGACGGGGTTCCAGGTTGTGTACTCAGGTACTGCGCCGATGCAATGTGTGGACCCTTGCTTAAACTATTTACCCTGTCCATTGATTCTTCTTGCTCCCCCCCCGATCTGGAAGTAATCGTTTATAATTCCTATCCATAAAAAAGGAGTCTGATGCAAAAAATTAAAGAGGTATACCAAAGCTATCCGCTTTTCCCAAAATTTTTTAAAAGATTTTAACTCCGCACTTGCAACATCTCTGCAAGTCACTTATATCTCCACCTCAATATGGATTTATAAGGCGGCGATCAACCACTTGTTAGTCCTCTTCAAAAACTCCGTCTCTTCACCAGTCAAGTATTATTCGGCCCCTTACTCTTTAAACTCTTTATTAATGACCTGCCTTCGGTATTCACATACTTTCGAGTACTTATGTATGCGGATGATGTTAAACTCTGTTTCCAGTATAAGGAAATTTCATTCTCGCTTGCAATCCGATCTCAATAACTTCCAGTCATGGTGTTGCGCAAACTTGTTACACCTTAATGCCTCGAAGTGCAAAGTTATGCCATTTCATCGTTCTAGCCCTTGGATGGCTCCATATACCATATGTGGTGGTTCTCTTGAGAGAATTACCCTGGTGGATGATCTTGGTGTTATATTAGACGACAAGCTGAAGTTTTCTGAACACATTTCTACCATGGTAAATAAGGCAATGGGCGTGCTTGCGTTTACAAAGAGCTGTTCAAAGGAATTTGACGACCCCTATACAACAAAGACTCTCTATACCTCGCTAGTTCGTCCGATCCTAGAATACGGCTCCAGTGTATGGTGACCTCAGTACAAAGTACATCAGGACCGTATAGAATCAGTACAGAAAAACTGGTTACTCTTTGCTCTGCGGGACCTTAACTGGGATGCGGGTGTGAGACTCCCATCTTACTCTAGTAGACTGCTAATAGTAAACCTCCCATGCTTAGTTAATCGTAGGAAAATGCTTGGTGTGATTTTTGTGCACAACTTGATCAGGGGCGACATAGACATAGACACGATTCCCATTACACTCACTAGAAATTTTGTACCGCTATTCCTTCCACTTTTACTATAACGAATAACAACTATATTCGAATTATTTCTTACATGAACCGTTCAGGGTCTTATGCTCGGATAATTCCCTCTACCATATTATATCCACCACTTATTCTCTTCCTCTTGTTAAATTACTAATCCTCACACCCCTTATAGTAATTAGTAATTGTAGTGGCATTTGTATTTTGATTGCATGCTTAGTTTCTTAGTAAGTTTAGTGCTAATTTTCCTCGAATGTTAGTCTAACAGCTATCTTTCTTGCATGTTCGCGTTCGGTTCGCCTCTTGAGAGATGCAGTCATTGCATGTGAACGTCAATGAACGAGGGGGAACGTTGTGA